TATATTATATAAAAAATAAAAAAAATCTTTATAAATTCTATCATTAAAGAAAAATTCATAAAAATACTTTCACCATGATATTGATTAGTATTTAATATATAAAAATTAATTTAAAATATTAAAAATAATTTACAAACTTTCTAGTTAAAGAAATTTTTTGTAAAATATTTTTATAAAAATTTATATTTAATATATATGGATGTAGAATAAAGTAATAGTTATAAAAAGAATACTTTCAAGCATGGAGCGTTGCTGATTTGGACTTTGAGTTAATGCCGTTGCTCCATTTTAGAATCGAAAAATCACTTTTCTCCCGCTCCTACAAAATCAAATTAATAAATCCCCAAAACAATCGATGCTTCAATTAAGCTAAAGCGAAACCTTTGCTTTCCTCGTTCTCTCTTCAGCAGCGAAGCCGAAGCAAAACACAGTGCACTGCGAACGAATCCAACAAAGATGGCATCAATTCGCGACGCCGATATCCATCTTCGGCTACAGAGCTTGGACGCTTTCGCCGCTTCTCACAGAAACTCCCTTCAATCACTCCGAGCCACCGCACTCGAAACCGCTCGATCTCAATGTAACGTTTTCCACTTCACTAACTTAGGGTTTGCGCTTTTCTTAATCTCTCTCTCTTTCTTCTTTTGCAGCTGAACTTGCGGAGATTAAAGCGAAACTGAGGGAGGCTGAGGATGAATTGGTAAAGGCACTCGCAGGTACTCTTCTTCTATGTCTCTCTTTTTCTCGCTTCGACTCGATTTTTTGTTTTTTTGAGTTTTTTTAGCGGTGCGCTTTGGTTTTCGTGCAGTTAAGACTCGGAGAGAGGCGAAGCGAATGGCTCTGAAAGATGCTATTGATTCTGCGAGGGGAAGAGTTGAAGATCTGAAGACAAGTATTCAGAAGCGGAGAACCGAACAGGAAGAGTGTGCCACGGTTGTTTCGCAACACCGTCTTGGTAACCTTGCAATTGCAATTATTTGTAGCTGTGTACCGTAATTATTGTTCCGTATCAGTTTCTGCAATGCTTGTTAATTTGTTTATTCATTTATTGATCAACATTGCAAAACTAGTCTAATTAGTTTCTAACTGAATTAGCCAAACTCTAACAACTGTTGAGCTATGGAAGGATGTTAAAAAATTAAACGAACTATTTGAGAATTGAGAACCAAAATGAATTATAAAAACGGAACCATTTGTATAAAAAATATTAAACTGAACTGTTTTTTTTTTTTTTTTTGAAAAAAGGGACCAAACTGATATGGATTTGTTATCGAGTTGTGTATTTTATTATGCCTGCTTTCATATTTAATTAGATATTTTGATATGCACACAATATATAGGCTAATGAGTTGTCCATGATCGTTTGTTTTTGCGGAACATTGAAATATAGCTTATTCTTGATAACTAGAATCTGATGAAGATTGCATTTACTCAAGGCTAAAACACTTGGTCGGTTGGTCCAGTTCAATCATGGAAATTACTGTTAATAGCTTTAAATCATAGTTCATGTTGAGTTTTCCTTTCTTGTGAATTAAAAAAAGAACTTCTTCCAGGAGAGGGATTAACGTGGCCTGAACATTTTATCTGTATATCATTTTTTGCACTTGTTTTTATGAAGGAATATTTTGGACATCTGTTTCTGGCTCTTTTTCCTTTATTTTCATTTCTGTGCTTACAATATTTGAAATTTTGCGTTATGAGAAACACTATGAACTTTTCTAAGCTTCTTTCCCCTCTTCTTTTTTCTTTCATAAAAAGTTTTGGCAGCATCTGAACAGAAATCAAATGAAAGCATTGAACAAGATGAAGTCCAGGAGGCCATATCTTGGTACAATAGGGTTCTTGGTTTTCATGTTGAAGGTGGACATGGTAATTAAAATCAATCCCTTTTGTCATAGAAATGTTCTTTCCAAATTTGATATTCTTATAAGATCTTCTTGTTAGGGGTAAAATTCACCTTCAAGAATATTAATGTAGACAACCCAAATGAGGAGTACTTTTTTACCATCCGTCATGAAGATGACACGTATACATGTAAGCATCATACATGGTTTGGTTTATAATCTTAAAAGTAGACTAATTTGTTTCATCAAATCTGAATTTATTCTGTTTATATTTCAGTGCTAAATTGTGAACCATCTCTCAAAGATATCGATGAGTTGATCCATGAATTAAACAAGACAAATGGTCTATTTAAATTTGTCAGAACAATGAGGAAAAAGTTTCAAGAAGCAGTGGCACAAGGTACAGCTTTAGCTCTTTCTAATGATTCCATTCATGAGATGGGATAGGGGTGGGGTGGGGGAACTGGACCTTTGTTCTGTCCAATTATTATTTGAAGGCTGAAGCTGTGACTACTGAAAACCAGGGCTGAATCAGCTCGTTTTTGTCAATCTGGTAAACTATTTCCCATTAAGCAGATTCATTCAGGTTGAAGTTGGTAATGCTGCAGAGTAGCAGAACATGTCAGGGAAAGGATTCAACCTGGCTCTTATTCATGGCTATAAGTTGTGGCTACTGGCTACCACTAAGCCTTATGGCACCTGTGGTAGTGCCATATTATGATAGTTAAAAAAGTTTATTTCCTTTATTATTAGCTTCTGAAATCACATAATACTTTTTCTTTTCAAAAACTAATTAGAAAAAAAATACATGCTTTGAAGTTATTATCATGATTTGTGATCACCCTTTTAATAATGTTTTGGTAACCTTCCATATTTCTTCATCATTGGTTATTTTTTATGTATTTTATTTATATAAAAATATATTCAAACCTGGACCCTGACTGAGCTTGTATTGTATCCCTTCTTTGGGTTGATGACCCTCTAGTTTTGAAACACTTAAGTGGGGCTTATAATTAATGTCAATTTCTGAATTACTACTGAACAGGCAGTCTATCTATGATAACAAATGAACATCAAGAATCTTCCTTTATTTCTGCATCTGCTCCAGTTTTATCAGAATCAACCATTAGAAGTTATTCTCCAACTGAAAGAAATGAGCATCAAGGTGAACCCACCAAAGTTAATGCACGTCTTCAAAAACAAGTCAATTGGAGAAGGGTAAAATCAGCAATTCTATCTCCTGATTCTGCATCATCTGTCCGTCAATCTCCTCGTTTGAAGGTATGAATCATATTGGTCTTGTATTTATTGAATTTAAATTTATGTTTCAGTACAAGGTGTTACCACAATAGCAGGATTCTCCTTATGAGAATATTTTGTTCAGTTGCTGTGTCGTCTACTTGTCTATTATTCTTTCAACATGTATGTTTGATTGTGAAGTTCCTTATCGCCTTTTTTTTAATATTCTTTTGATGTGACAGACTTGGCTATTAAGCCTAGAGAAAGATGGTTATGGTTACGGCAATTGCTTGACTTTGGCTTTTGCTTTCATTTAAGTGAACCTGAATTGGGGTTAAAGAAGTAACAAACAATATAGAGATACATAACGGCTAACTTGGTTGTCTTCTTGGCAAATTGATTTTATGTTTGAAGTCTTGAACACAACTAATTATATCAAATAGAAACACTACAGCTTTAATTAGGTGCTTTGACTTCACGAGCTTATGCTAAGGATGGATTTTCCTATAACTTGTAGTATAGTGTAAAGAGGGCATTCTGATGAAATAAAACTCTAAGGAGTGTATTTGCCAACCTTAAGAAACTATACAAGTCGGTACAGTAGGACTGATATTAAAATCTTATTTGGTGGTAAACACTGAAAGATTGAAAAAATAGTTTTTGTGTGATTTGCTTAAAGTCTCATCTGGTTTTGAAGAAATCCAATAAAATGTTGGTTTTAAACTAACCAGTTGATATTTCTATTTGAATTAAAAGTTTCCCTCTTTCTCCCCCTCTTTTCATTTTGTCTGAAATTTGAAGACCAAAATTCAAAATAATGCTTAATATTAAACATGATAAAAAAACCAAACTAAATATATTACAAGGTGGACACTCTAACCTGGCTGATGTCTAAAATATATGATACTGGGAATATATGTAGACAATGACAAAAGCTTTACTGTTTACCCCACTAGGTGAGGCCAGCTATATGGATCACATGACGCTATTTGTTGTAAATTCGCCATTCTCTTATGCGACCAATTCTCACACAGAAAAAAAGTGAGGCATTATTTTAAAAATATTTATATTAAGGTTAACCTTTCTAAAAGTTAAAAAAAATAATATTAGTGTGCATTTATTCATAAGGACGTGTCAACTCAAATACTTGAGTTGTATGGATGTGTCGGCTTAAGTGTCCAAGCCAACACCTATTGTCTGACAGTGTTGAGGAGGTATTGGTGTTGGAAACAGTTTTGATGTCATGACACTTCAAACGAGAGTTGTCTCTGCTTCATAGGTTTTAACCAGTTTTGTGTTTCCAAGGCACTCACTTGATGCTAGTGACTTGGTTTGTGCTGTAAGGGACAAGGATAATTTTAGCACCTTTGATATATTGCTTAGCTTTCCTTTTTGATCTACATTTGATCGTGCATCACCTGATTTGTTGTGCCACCTATATTATGTTAGTTTTTGGATCTGTTCCAGATTTGATACAAATCATACAATTATCATTCTGGGAATATGATTTTGGAGGCAGATCATTTACAGGAAGAGACTTAATAAACTTTATGTCCATTGTGTCCTTAATGCTACTCATCCTTTTCAAGTTTTGATTGAAAGGATTCTGAGTGCCAAAAAAACAAAACATTCTGCAGTTGCAGAATGTAAATACTCTGACAGCATATCAGCTGGGCTTGATAAGTCAGTATTTTAGATATTGGTAAGATTGTATTGCATGACCACAGTTTGTTTGAGGTTTGGTCCTTGCATTCTTGTGTACTGCAGACAGTGCATCAGATGCAGGATCACCATCATTTATTTGTTTAAGAACTTGTGTGGCAGAATTTCTAGATGATGTAATCACAGAAAATTGTATGTAATTACTTCATATATATATATATATATATATATATATGTAATCCACAATATTACAAACATAACAATGACATTCAAACTTAAATTCTTCCGCATCTATCTCAATTTTTTCTCCTAATTATTAAATTAGTTTTAATAATAATTTCTTCATATATATATATATATATATATATATATGTAATGTGTATGTAAGATCAGTTATGCCGAGGTTTAATGTATGGCAGGCCAGGAAATGAAGCGGTGTGGATGATGCTTGTCACCTCATTTTGATGAGACATGCTAATTCATGTGGGGCATTACTCATGACTCTGATTGCTAACAAATTGACATGTAAGTTAAGACAGACCCAGATTTTGATTGCTAGCAAATTGACATGTAAATTAAGACATACCCAGGTTCTGGATGTCTGAACCTATATATAATAGACCAGAAGATCCCTACATTTTTCATGTGTGGTCCGTGTGATATTTGTGTGTATTTATTTTTTCCCCCATTGTTGATATACTAAACATCCAGTCATTATTTCGCTGATATCTTATTTTTGGCATTGTAAATGAAGTATTATATTGGTATTTGGGAAATGGATCTGTACGATCCTTTAATTTATTTTATCTTCTCTCGGTTTCTAAATTTGCATTTCGATCACGTGGATGAAGTCTGAAGTGCAGGAATGGCATACCCATTTAGCTGGTGGATTTTTTTTCTCGTTTCTGTCGTGTTGACTTGGCTACTAGCCTGTTAATATCTAAAATCCTGATCACTGGGAAGCACCTGACTTAAAAAGAAAAAACAAGTTGCTGGAATGATGTCCACCTATACGCCAGTTTTGATCAGTCATAGATGCTTTTGCAAGCAGTAAATATAATAATTTTCCTTTAAGTTGAGGGCTGATTGACAATTATAGGATATTTTTTAAAATTAATTATGTAAATGAGGTTGTTTTGAAACTATTTATACCTTTGAGATAGTTTATTACAGGGTCGCTATGAGCAATAACGATACTAGTGTCACGTGTATGTTTTTTTTTTATTAGGACGACTTGAATTTAGTCATGTATAAGTCGTTACCCGTTGTAACGACTTTAATAGTGTAGTTATTAGTTGTTTCAACATTTAAAATGACTCAATTTTATAAAAAATAATTTTTTTTCTCATAAAAATAAAAAAATATATTTATTTTAAGAGTTGAACTTTTAAATTTTTTTAATAATTTAACAAAAAAATAAGATTTTTTAAAAATAACCCAGAATAGTCCAATCAATTAAAAATAAATTAATAGTATATTTTAAGATAACTTTAAATAAAAATAATTGAGATTAGAAAAAACTCTGTTTATAAAGAAAAGTTTTTTTAAAAAATGAAGAAAAAAAACTATGAAAAAAAAGGTGCTAAAAAAAAGAAGAGAAAAAAAAAAAGATGAGCCATAGAAGAAAAACAAAATGAAAAAGAAAAATTTACAAAATTTTAAAAGCATTAAACAAATATTGTTAAAATACATCTAGAGAAGAAAAAAAAATATAAAAGAAAAAAATAAGTGGGAAAAAATGTAAAAAAATGCAAAAGAAAAATAATGAATTACAAAATAATTTTAAAAAAAATTGGTAAAATAAATTTGTAGAGAAAAAAAACCCAATGACCCAAAAAAATGAAAAATTTGGAAAAAAAAAAATTGAGCTCGTTATGAGCCATAGCGACTCTAGGTAGTCCAAAAAAAATGAAAAAATTTTATAAAAAAAATTGAGGTTGCTATGGTGTCATTCTTATCGCAAAAAACACCCAATAAAAATTTGACATGGGACATCGTAACAGTAAAAAAAACTTACCATAAAATAATTTAAAAACATTAATATTTTTACATATTATTTTTTCAAATTATATTACCTTCATTTTTAAAGGCTAAATACCTAATTTGGTCCCTCATAATAATTAAAAATTTTAATTTGATCCCACTTTATTTTTTGGTTTCAATTTAGTTTCTAATAATTTAAAAACACATCAATGTGGGACTTCCGTCCAAATTTCACAAACGGTGTTAAATGTGGACGACGTGAATGCCACGTAGATGCATAGGTGACAAGGTTTTCTTCTTCTTCTTCGTTAATGGTCCCATACGTATGTCATGTGTTAATTTTGCATCTGGAACGACCCGTTCTCAAACTAGAACGACCCGTTCTACTTGCACTCGTTGTGTGATAATTGTGCATTTGGAACGGGCCGTTCCAGATGGTTTAAGAACGAGCCGTTCTAGATGCATTAAAGAAGGAGGAGGAAACCTTGTACGTGACATCCACGTCATGCACATTTAGCACCATTTGTGGAATTTAGATAGAAGTCTCATATTGACATAGTTTTAAATTATTCGAGACTAAATTGAAACAAAAAATAAAGTGAGACCAAATTGAAAATTTTAATTATTGTGAGGAACCAAATTAAACACTTAGCCTTTTTTAAAATTATATTTATTTCTTTTTTCGAATTATATTACCTTCATTTTTTAAAATATAAATTAATATTTTAAAAACATTAATAGATTTACATATTATATAAATAAAATTTTAAAAAACAAATAGATCGCTACGGAGCATAGCAACATTACATTTCATATTTTTAATTAATATTTATAAAATAATTTTAAATTGATTTAATTTTTTACTTAAATATAATCTTGACTTGTTTTTTTTTTTTTTTTTTTTTTTTG